TATATATATATATATATATATATATATATATATATATATATATATAGCATAGATTGTACATATGCATTTATATATGTATGTACTAAAATCTGTATTAAAGTATAGGTGGAAAACGTTAAGTTGAAGAAAGACGGGGAAAGACACGGGCATGATATCGAAACTATCATCCGGCTTGAACGAAATCACGGAAAACGTGATTCCGTTGGCTCGTGGAAACGCCAAAAGCGCGCTGGACATTAATCTCTAGGGAAGATATCTCGTTACCACGGTACCATAAACAAGTCGACCTCGTTGCGATCCCGACGCATGAACTACGCCTTTGCCCTTAAGGGCTCCTGGCAACAATGCCAGCGCCACGACTCGAACAGGATCTCCGTTGGAGGATCGCAGAGGCGCCAATGGCAATGATGTAGGTGGATCTGAATGCAAGAGAGAAGGAAGACTAGGCGAATAGAAAGAGAACCGGAGGAGGATTGCTGATGGTGGTGGTGGTGTTGGTAGATCGCTTTGATGTTGTTGTTATTGTTGTTGTTTTGGTTGTTGTTATTGTTGTTGTTAGCGGTGGTGGTGGTGGTGGTGGCTAAGTAACATAAGGAAAAGTACTCTTCGATCCTTACTAGAGCTTAGGCGCAGCCTCTCGGCAAGGCAAAGTCACTGCACTCTTGTGCCCCGTTGTGCTTCTCTCGCGGCGAGAGTTCTTCCGCGCCGAGATAGAGGCGCATTAGCTGAGCGTAGCCGGTTTGCCAGCACGAAGTATTTTTCATTGACAATAAGAGAAAACGAGAATCGGCCAGCGCGTCTGCTTAATGCCGACGCAAACACGTATAAAAAACGCCTCCTGAACTATTATTAGAACTCTGCTTAAATAAGATTATGTGGATTGTCGATAAAATAAGAAGAAAAGAGGAAGAGAGAGAGAGAGAGAGAAATCAGGTATGCAACCTAGGCGCGCCACCTTCGCTATGTCCCGCGTCTCCAACTTCCTCTTATACTGAATTCCATATTCAAGTATAGAGAATCCAAGAATTATATTAAAATTATCGATCCGAGTCTAATGAGGTTGGTTCATTTTACTCCTGGTGGTCTAGGATTCTTGATATTACTGCTTAACGAGCCACGCTTAACACTTTGTCACTTATGTTAGTCCTTTCAATTCTTAATTATTAACGATAAATCTACCAAACCCCTTTAGCATCCTATCCTATTCGAATGATCGTTCGTTCAGAAATGAAAGTACGACTATATATATATATATATATATATACGTATGTATACAGAATCGATGAGACGAACGAGTTCGAAACTTCTCATGATACTTCCCGTACTTTTGATACGATAGGATTCGACACGATACTTTTCGAATTAATTCGAATGAAGGATCGTGCTTACCAGGAGGTCGAGACATCGTGCAACGCGCATAATATCTAAATGAGACGATAACGAGCAAAGTACTCTCGTAACCGTTGCAAACTCGAGCAACGGGATGGAAGTCGCGTTGCGATGAAAACAAAAAAAAAAGTTCGTCCCGCTAATCTTTAACATTATCGTACGTCGGCAAAGGCGTTCACCAAAGCTATGTCTGACCATAATCGAGTAATATATGCAGTGTCTGTAACGCATAAACTGCTTCAATCGTGACCACCGTAATGCTTAGGAGTAATCGTTATTTACGACGTTGTAAAGCGTAAAACGGGGATGAAACGTTGTAATGAAATGGTTAATTATGTTGATTCATGTTTGCATTTACCTCACAGCTGTTACGAGTTACGTCTATACGATGGTAACTTGCGTGCACAATTTTCGAACTAATGTCTGTTCTCTAAACTTCAAAACGGATATTTCCGTTTTCTCTTTCTTTTATCTTTTAACTCGCTCGTTAAACTTACATTTTCTCAGACCACGTGGGTCAACCATTTCAACAAAGTAATAATAAACGCGGAAATACTTCCCTGATGTAATTTTCTACAGATAGGTAGAGATGGTATAGGTATACATTTTTATTATTATTTAATTGTTCGCTAATTTAACGAAAATATGTTTAACAGAGAAATTGAAACGGATACCAATAGATTATTTAAATAAAATTATTTTTAACATACTAAAATGATCCGAATATTTATATAGTACTAAGTGTAAGAATAAGCGTTATGTAAATTGAATAAATTATACCTATATTTCCTACAATTAAAAAAACTATACATACTACTTGGTATAAAAATCACAAATTCTTGAACTCAACTATAAATATACAAAATAAACATATTTGAAAATCAATAGTATCCAAATATTAAAGTAAGTCACAATATATAACTTGATGTATGTCCGAAATATTAATATATAAGAATAAATCTAAATATTCAGTCTTTCACCAACGTATTTGTTATATGTTGACAAGCGACCATGTGAATCCTGACATTCTCAAATTTCGGTCTTTCACGATAAAATACATATATACCCATACATATATTCATAAACCTATAAACAAATTGACTTTCGTTAGTTTAGATACTTTCAACTTGAATGATCAATACCAATCGAAATAATTGCAGGTGAAAAACAAAGACGACGTATTGTGAGCTGGCAACGAACGGATCGAATCGGATCGGATCGAGTAATATCACTAAGGTGTTCTAACGCTTAGCGAGAGAGTGCTTCTACTACAACGCGGAAGCTCGTTGCGGGGGAGTGCAGATGCAGGATCGCGCCGACGGCCGGCCTCCTCGGAAGGTCGTGCCATTCAGCGGCCGTTCACCCGTCATCTCTTTCTTTTTCTGCTCTTCCCCCTTCGTTTTCTAACCTATCTCAGGTATCCCGCCTTTGTTACCATACCTACTATATTCTATGTAAGTATCTTACACTTAGGTATATCTATATATGTACGTACTTATACTAAGGACAACTGAATTTACTTGAACGAGCCACGCGACTATAACAACCTTATTCTTTTTTCTTTCTTTTTTTTGTCTCTGTCTCTTCTTTTCTTTTTCTTTCTCACGCATACACGTGCGCACACACCATATCACAGGTATACGTATATATAATAATCGATGATCATCTTCGGTCGATTTCGTTGTATTCGTTTATAACATTCCGTTCTTACGATCTAGCACATTTTATAGGCTCGCGTGACGTTCCTGACAATGACCGGACATCGTGATGCTTTTCAGTAAAGAAGAGATAAGTATAGGCCTTGTGAGTTCAATAGAAGAAGAGGCCTTTACGAAGGACGATTTAGAAAGAGCGACGAGCTACGATAGGTGCGATTAGCGTCCCTTAACGCCTTCCTTACTCGCTTGTCGCCTTGCAAAAGGGTATCCAGGACGTTCACCTTTCGTCCTTTTGTCCTTCTACGTCACCTTATCAGTCTAACGCATCCGCATAACCGGTCCTTAGAATATGTTTATCTCACGGGTATACACGCCTTCAGCGACAAATTCACGAAGGTGACAAATTATGGATCCGGCTTGCGGTATTTTTACGAGTTAGGTGTGACGATCATTGATCATGCGCTATTATGCGCTAAGAATGCTTATAATGCAACGTCATCAATTTCTTATATTTCGATCGAGAGGTGATCAACGTTGGGAAACGAGATTGATTCTAATGGGAAATATTCAAAGGCGAATAAACGAGTATATATATATATATGTATACTCTAATATATCTACAGGTATCTATGTGTTTCACCGATACTTTCGCTTTATCTTTTTTTTCTTCTTCTTTTTTTTTTTTTTTTTTCATTTATTTAATCACATCGAGGCCAATGCCTGATACTTTTTCTCTTTTTTCTTTTTCCTTTTTTTTATTATTATTAACGAAGTCGACGGTATTTATATCGATAATCACGTTCAACGAACGAGCAAGAAATCGTAATCGATTCTAATAAAATCTTATGCATATTCCTAACGATATTTACGTAGGTATATATATATATACATATATAATATATAAGATATGCAGAGTGCGTTTCGAAGACATTGCGCTAGGTCAGCCATTCGATCGTACAAATTACGCATTCGATTCGAACGCGTTTCTTATATCCGTGCTCCCTTTCTGCCTTTCATCCTCGTAACCATGTCGATCATACCGATCAGACCGTTCGACAGGTATTCGGTATAGTCTCTCTTGACTATCGTTGGTATCGTGATCCTTTCACTTTTCAATCGTGCCATAGTATATCGCTCTACCCTTTGAATGTCTCTCGCACAGCTAGAGTACCTAACTATCATCGGAAAATATTAAAACGATAAAATCGCGTTGCTTAAAACCTTATAACGAATCATTCGGAGTTAATAAGATATAAACGTTAGATAGATATGTAACCGAACCGTATGATTAACTAGGAATTTATCTGGCCGTATAATCTAAGTCCATAGTGAAAACGTATGGGAATTTCGTACGTCGAAAGTCGTTGCTCCCTTATCGATAAGGGAAACGTTTACAGTAGAGGGTCGAGAATGACGATCAGAATGAGAACGTTAGAAAAAGAAATAGACGAGGATATAAATATGAGGATAAAAAGAAAACAAGATGGAATTCGTTTGGCGGATCTTCTCACGCGCCTTAACAGCGAGACGAGTTCTTCCTCGTCGTTGGCGTCCGAGGCAAGAGCAGCGATTTCTCTTCTTAATCGCGACGTATGTCCTCCGGTCTCTTCGTCCTTGGAAATAAGAACGTTCAATGAGCACCATACGCAATCCTCGATAACCCCTTTGATTAGAGGAATTCAGCAAGAAACGTCGAGACGGCGCCAACCATCGTCGTTAAAGAAAAAGCGGTCGAGTGAGGAGTTCTAATGCTCGAATGCCAATGCGCTTATTTATTTCTAAATAGCATAACCGTACGGTCAGACGGTGTCGACGGTTATGCCAATCACCGTCCTTCTCTCGTCTATACTTAATACGCATGCCGACAACGCGGTTTATTCGTTGAAACGATTAAACGATCTTACGTTTCTCCGATCGTCTTAAATGTACCTACTACTGCCACCAAAGGATCCTTGCTTCCCTTTACCACTCCATCTAGACGACATTCTTCTTCATCGTTCTCGACATTCGTACAATGTAAAACATACTACATATTTAGTTTTAGTTTAAAACGATTACAACTAACGTACCTCGTTAAAACGAACGAAATAAATCGAATCAGGTCTAGTGTCTTTTTAAAAAGTCTTCTTTTCTTATTATACAATATATAAGCATGTATATATATCTCTATTTATCGTATCTATATAAAACCAACCAAACAACCAATCAACCGTGCTGGCATTCCTAAATGTTCTTGTAAATCATTTTTCAACCAAGTACGCTGCCACATTAGGTCCACCGGCGTTCCGTAATTACCACCGCTTACAAACACCAGCTATTTTATTGTTAGTATTTCAGTATCGTCGATAACATCGCGAGCAATTAAATCAATTATCAGAAAGGTTCCGTCCGTTTCTGGTTTTAGAACGACTAAAGCGCCCTGCCAACGAACGAGTTGAATGCTGCTGTTGGCAGGTGGATATCGTCCATGATGTAGTATTATATCGTGAGAAAATATGCGATTAATTTCCTGCTCTGCGAGTTACCGGCGCGCGGTCGATATACGAGCCGCAGAAGCAAGAACCGTATACGTCTGCGCGATGACACTACGTTAGAAACACAACCATCCGCTGCTATTCCATGTTTGCCGCTTTGACGTCGTAAACATTTGTCCAAGATATTCCACGAATTAAATTTAATATCCATTTACTTTACAATTAATTATACGCTTCTGCAACGTTTCTTAAATTTTTTCCCCTTTTTTTTTTCTCATTCCGTCGGATCGGTATTTGAAATCGGACCTAGAAAAATCAAATATTTTGTCTTTATGAAATTAATCCAAACATCTAATCTCTTATGTTGGGAAATTATTATATTCATAATATAACCTTATTAGAGAGGTATCGAGATAAGATATTTACGAATTCAATGAAAAGGGCAAAATCGACAACGTCATATAATATAAGTAATTCGAAGAAGGGAAGAAGAGAGAGTATATATATATATAATAACTATGGTAAAACTGTACAAGGCCATCGTCGATCGACAAACTTTTGCACGTTGGAGATTATGAAAGGATTTCATTGTAAATTCACCGCATGCCAAGATAAAACAGACAGTTCTTAATTTCATTCGTGCGTGAATAATGCCAAGTTAATGCCACGGAGTGGCATATCTCGAAGTTCAGAATAATTGACTCGAATCGAGCTGTATTCCACGCGAAAGAGATTGAGAAAGAAAATTAAAACGACAAAGAAAAAGAAAAAGAAAAAGAAAAAGAAAGAGTGAGAGTAAAATAAGAGGATTATGAAAAGAGCTTTCGTAAGTGGTTTCTCTAGCATCCATTTTCCTGATTATGAATGAGACTCGACGTGGCGCGCGAGTTACGCGAAGAATTGCGAATAATTTTTCGTATCTGTCGGTGAATTTAAAAGGCCTTATTGACTAGGAAAGATAATTTTGTATCGATTCTCCTATCACGAGATTTGCAATTTTTACGATCCTCATCGCGAACGATGTCTTTGTCGTTGTCATCATCGTCATCGTCATCGTCATCGTCGTCATCGTCATCGTCGTCGTTATCGTCGGGCGTCGTCTATATTACCAAGGCCAACCGGTACATCTATCGCAAGAAGATAGAAACACGATGAGTTACCCGAGATGCAGGTCGGAAGAAAAGATGGATGACTCGTCTTGGCTATTTAAGCCATTCAAATAGCCGCCGTGTGTGTCTCATTAGGCTCGTTGCACGACGTTTTCGATTATTATTTAATTAACGAGCATACCGAACAGTTAAATCTTAACGTAAATAAGAATCTATATGGTACTTTAAATACATATATATATATATACACGACGCGTTTATAACTACCGAATAAAAAATTCCCCATACCTTTCCGGAAAGTAAATAAGATAACACACATGCCTACAAGCTTATGCAAACACTTTAAGTCTTTACATAAATCGTATGTGAGGTGAAAATGGCCGATTTCGCGATCTCCTTTCGATCTTTCTCTTCCTCCCTGCTTTTCTCTCTCTCTCTCTCTTTTTTCGAGCATGCTAACAAGTCGAATTTACATCGATTCCGACGTAGTAACTCACCGATAGAGGACGGTTACATGGAAAAGGCGAACTCTCGAAGGAGAGTCCTCGTGGGGATGGTGAGAGCTCGCGTGGCCGAGTTGTTGTGTCTTGTAATCGTACCGGAATGTCACGGAATTTAAGAACTCTTCTCTCGATACGGGTAAAACACCCGCGCCCCTATCACAAACACCTCCTCTTATTCTTACCTCTTCTACTTTTACTTCGTCTCTTCTCGTCGTTGCCACTTATCGAAGTAAAAGTAAACCTAAATGAGACGAGAGTTTGCAGCCGCATTTGAACGTCGCACGAAACGCCTTGTTCGAATGTTCGAACAGTTGAACGCAAAGCACCACGCGGCGTGTCGGGAATGCGGAAAGAACGAGAAACTACTCTTTCTCTTTCTTTTATACTTTTGTATTTCACGTACGTATACTTAAGTATACGCCTATACAGATAGTTACATATGTATGAATGTAAGGGGTGGTGTGTGCAGGGGGGGAGGGTTGTACATACATAGATACGATGTCAGTAATTCGAGACGATGCAATGCGGTGGCTCTTCGGAAAACCGCGCAAACTGACCAATACGGTTGCTTGACAGGCGCACACGCTCTAGGATCCTCTCCAAGGGGTAGATTGTATTTGTTCTTATCAAGATTCAAAGGCTTCCTCGGTTAACAAACTTCCAGCAACCTCTAAGGTTACCACATTCGCGACCGTATATAACCAATAAATGTACTCCGTCCTTCCTGCCATCTCTTCTAGCTCATCTTATTAACGCCTTAATGTTCCACGAAATAGGACGTTTTAAGTATTTTATGAACTTGTTCTGCGTTCCTAAGAGCTATCGTTTCGTATAATTCTTCCTCTACGAGAGAGAACGAGAGAGAGAGAGAGAGAACTATTTGTTAGATTTGCTCGTATCATCGATAATTCATCCTTTTCATATTACAGACCGTATCAATTCTTTTCATTTCCCTTCGAGCGTGTAATTAAAATATGCTTATATAACGCAATATTAATTATGGTTTCTTTTGTTTCTTATTCCTYCCYCCCCGCCACATCCCCCTACTCCTCGCCCCAGCCTCTTGTTTCTTTTCTTTGGTAAATTTCTTTTTAGTTTACATACAATCTTCAAGATGTGCGTAATGAAAAATAACTTTTCATAAAACGAGAATTATGTATTTTTTTTTGAATTTGTCTTTTTTTTTAATCGACAATTACACGAGGTTTGATTTATTTCATAAATTCATTTTCATCATCGACATAATATCGTTCGCTGTGAAACTAATCAGCGAGTCATTCATGCAAAATCGTTACGGTCTTCTCGATACTTTCTCCATGTTTTTTTTTCTTCTTCTCTTTTTGTTTTTTTTTTCTTCGATTGTTTTTAAATGCTATACGACACCAATTTATGTGGACACGCCCTACAACTCTGAACATAAATTTTCATTTTATCCTCTTTTTCAGACTGTTTTCTGCTGACTACTACCAGTCGCTATGGAATCCTCTCTTTCTCTCCCTCTCTCTCTCTCTCTCTCTTTTTCTCGATGGTTTAATTTTGTGTCATATATGCAACGCGTATACCATCCTCCGCATCGAATTTATCCGTGGTTCGGCTATGTATTCCAGCCGCAGCAGCAGCTCGATCTTCTCTGCGGTCAGAGAATATTCTCTTTACGATCGAGAAATTGAAAATGCATTTGCATCTTCTCTTACGGATCTTAAAGTTACCTTTGGGATTTAATAAATAAATAAATAAATAAATAATGTATGTATGTATGTATATACACATTTACATGAATACGATCTTTCGAATATTACAGACAATTAGATATCGAAGAAATATCAACCATATGATAATCCTTTTCTTTTCTTTTCTTTTCTTCTCTTCTCTTTTCTTGTTTTTTTTTTTTCTATAAGAAAAGCGAACGTATTGAACGTTTAAGGTGATATTATGATTCGTGAAAAGTCACGATCTTTAACTCCTTAGGATACCACGTGAAGATAATCTTCTTCTTCTTCTTCTTCATCTTCTTCTTCGTGCTAACGACTTTCCAAGAACGATCTAAATCATGAGTAAAACGTTGAACTTTAGCGATCGTTTATTGGCACTGACGCTTCTTTCAACGTCCACTTTAATGATAGGTTTATGACGTTACCAAAGATAATAACCGACGACCTTCCTGTAAAAGAGTAAAGCATCGTCAATGTTGTAACGTAATTGTTACTTTCCTGCCTCACACCTTCGAGATAATCCATCCACGGTAATATTGCCTTCTCGATAACGTTGCGTTTAACACCTTCGCATAATCACAAGTAATAGTTAGCTATTTGCATTAACGCAATATTACTTTATCAATACTTCACTAGGATGAAACGAACGTTAAGGTCGCAGTTAACGAGTTAATAAAATTTTCTTCTCTGCCGTTTCTCACGCGTTCAAATCGTTTTCTTCTTCTTCTGATGCTCCTGCTTCTTCTTCTTCTTCTTCTTCTTTTTCTTTTCCTTCTTCTTCTTCTTCTTCTTCTTCTTCTAAATATCTTCGAATCGCTGTAATGTTGAAAGATTCACGACAATGAAAAATAACAGTATTTTGGATACTTCGAATATTCATCTCACTATTAATAGATAACGGTGACTCAATTTCAGACTAGGCGTTTCCTTGACTCCGCCTTTAAATGTGTCCCATCGAGTCATCGTACTTCCCATTGCTATCGTTAACTTTCCAATTGAAGGTATAATCGTTAATGAATATCTAAAATAATTTTACTATACAAAATTTGATGAACAAAATTAAAAACGAAAATTAGCAAGAAGATTCGACATGTCTACAAATTATATATTCCAACTGTCTAATCTTTAAAAAAGAAAAAAAAAATGAAGCTTCCTTCGTTATAGTACAAAGTATACAACGAATTCCGAATTCTAAGCATCTCAGACGTTTCAGAAGTTAATGACTAGCTGTTAAAAAGCTTCGCACGTTACGAGCTGTTGACTGACAATGATTGCAAAAATTCGACTTTTCGTAGCTCGATTTTTATTTAAAACGAGACGACAAAATTACTTTAAATCCTAATATTATACGTATATAAACATTATACATATATTATAATACATACCGTTTTTTTTCTCGATAAACAAGCTATTGCATTTATTACAAAAATAGATTCAAAAAATAAAAAAAAGAAAAAAAAAAGAATAGGAAATAAAACACGAAATAAAAAAAAAACCAACTATAATATAACGCTCTAACGTGATGATTTGTATTCGATCAAAGCCAACGAACACACGCAAATCTTTTACGGTAGGTCAAGATCCACCTTGACTAGTAGAAGGTAAGTATATTCTGGGTCAAGCGTGACTCATTGGCAACGTGCTTAAGAATCGCAGTAGGCATGGCTATAAATTTCGCAGTTGTATTGACTCAGCTACGCATCGACGATTATTAAAAACACGTTAGAAAAGAAATGAAATAACACGAAAGCAACCTATGTATAACTATCTTTCAGCTTTCACACGACTCAAGGTTAGCGCTTGGTTGCTATTACACGACTTCGTTACGCATGATGGACGAAATAAAAGGTACCGCGATGGAATGCTATATTGATTATGGTTCGTTAAGAGGTATCGTGGAAGGTAGCCGCGTTGATTACCGACATTACATCGGCACACAGATCATTTTCCTAAAGCGAGAAGAATCTTTCTCTTTCTATTTTTTCTCTCTCTCTCTCTCTTTCTTTCTGTCTTTCCACGTTGAACCGAGATCGCAAGCGATGATTTCGAAGAGGTTAAAAGAGGGCGATTCGAGGAAGGTCTTTGCGGTCAAAGCAATTCTTCAGAAGGAAATCATCAGCATCAGTGTGGCATAAAATAGCAATGGGATATCATTACCGATGCGACCGGTCTCTCTCTCTCTCTCTCTCTCTTTCTCTCTTTCTCTTTTCCTCTTTCTCTCTCTTATCCTCCTCCTCTTCTTTTTCTTCTTCTCCTTCTTCCCTTTCTCCTCTTTTCTAGTCACCATCTTGGCACTATCTCACACATTCTCGTCCTTGTCTTTTGCACGAATCGTTACGGATGCGTGAGCAATATCAAATTCTTTCTATGATAGGGTAAGTATCGTTATAGGAAAATAACGATCGTGTCTTTAGCAATCTAAAAACAACCTCCCTGTCGTTCAACCGCTTTGGACAGGATAGAAAGTTCTTCTTCTCAAACTTCAAGAAATAATATCAACGTACCGTTCGTTACTATAGTCTACAACAAACGGTGAATGCGTTCCTTAGAAAGTTACCAGGAAAGAAACGAGTCGAGCGATATCGTTACTAAGAGACGAGGACTTATGTTAGCATTTGAGAATAAGTATTTGTGGATCCTAAGAATGTGGTAGTGTCCGAACGTGTCTCTTCGAAACTATGGCTCTTGATCTCTTGGAACTCTTGGCTTATCGCTCGTTGAACTTACTACGGATTCCTTGGAAACAACGATCATCGTGGGAATATTATTCATTCATTTGTTACCGTTCTATATATTTATTATACTTGACAGGCGTCGTTAAAATGATTGGATTTGATTAAATTTTATACGAATAGATAAAATGTTATCATTAAAATATCATCTATGGCAAAGATTATCTATATTTGTATTTAAATTTGGAATTAAAAAGTATAAATATTTGAATACACCAAGATCAGAAGTAACAGTTTTTATTAGAGGATTTGGACAATCCAATATACTTCTATCAAAATCAATGAAAGTTGCAATACTTGGTGCTAACAATGAGACAGGTATTTACTATCATTTATAAACAATAAATTATAATATACTAAATAACAAAAGTGTGTTAATATATTTATTATATTGAATTAACCTATAAACAACGTATTATTCGAAAATCGTTCAACATTATGTTAAAGGAAGATTTTTGTCCCTGCTACTCAAACGATCCTCCCTGATCGACGAGATCTCGCTATACGATAAGGAAACGACCGAGTATCTCGCATCTGAGCTCAATCACGTTGACACGAGATGCAAAGTCACGACGTATCCACACAACGAGGAATGCCTGACGCGAACGCTGCAGGATGCAAAAGTAGTCGTAGCTTTAGCTGGAAAAAATCTTCAAGGCGAATCGACACCAACGGAATTACTCGAGTCAAACGCCGAGATCTTGTCGGATTTACTACCGAACGTCATTAGAAGCTGTCCTCGGGTAAGCGACCAGAACGACCACGGGGAGGAAGATAGTAACAAAACTGACAATCTTAATTACGATGCAAATTGCTTGCCGAGCGTGCGAGCATCTTTCTTTCTCTCTCTTTCTTTATCTCTTTCTCTCTTTATCTTACTTTCTTTCTTTTTCTATCTTTCTCGAGCAAGGATACTTCTCGCATCTTTCTTGCGATAATTCCTTAAACGACGTTGCATCGATGCGTTGGTGAGATCGCGAGACGATTCTACGAGCCAACGATCTCTTTGTCGGAATATCTTTAGTACACGTCCTTCCATTTAAACGTATACGTGTATATGTAAATACTTATATGTATATATATCACTAAATACGTATATATGCAAACATTACCTATACAAACGTAGCTCACTTATCCCTATGTAGAACCTCTGACATAAACGTTAGATAAGATTTATTTACTCATTCGATTTCTTCGACTTTAATCGCATCTCGAGATAAAGAAAGAAACAGAGAGATAGAGAGAGAGAAAGAAAGTGTCAGAGATTTATTCGATTAACATCAAGATTTCGATATATCACTGAAGAGTGGGAATCTCTTAAACGACGTATGCATATACATAAATAATATCAATCGTATCCTGCTAAACTAATTAAAATCATGAAGTAAACTATATACAGACATCTTTAATTCTTCCTGGAACAAATCGTCCCTACTATTATACCTTTTTTTCACTTCGATGAAACCACTCAAATTGGGCGTCCGTTTTAAAGTGGATTGAGAGCTCGGATCGATTCGTTACTCGTTTAAAAAAAAGATTTAAGTGTAACCTTTTTAACCCTCTTTGACAATCGATAAAAATTCTTTACGAAGGAACTATCAACTCCAGTTTGAAATATTATCAATTAGTATTTTAAAGGTTGATATTTTTGCTCGATTTTAAGATACATACATTTTGTTATAATAACGAATATAAAATTCGTATTATAATGATAATAAATGTTATATACTCGACTTGATTTTTCATTAAAAAACAAAAAATTGATTTGAATAATATTCCAATTGTATAAATAAATAAATAAATTATTTTGTTCTCTTGTTTTTTCTTAAATAAGAAAGAAATCGATAGTAGATACGATTGAACGATACGATAACACGAGCGACAATTTATCACGCGTGAAAACGATTTGAAAGTTTTTCTCGTTTGGTTTCGTGAAAAAAAAAAAGAAGAAAAAAAAGGAAACAATTGCTTCGTTTCCAGTAAGTCGGCTCTCGGCCAAGCAAAACATTTTTAATCTTCTTCTCGCTGGTTGTGTTTATCCTACCAACGAAGGCGTCGTACTCTCTAACGTCTGGCATTTTGCTTGTGAAAAGATGTGGTCGGCAGCGAAAGTACGTTGTACAGCCGAATAATGGGCAGTCTTCGTGTTTTATGCACGACCGAACATCATTTCTTATGTATAGCGGTTGGCCTCGGCTTTTAACGCCCTCGCAGCTTCATTAATTACGCCAAAGCTGTTTTCGACATTCCTCCACTACGACCGACGGTGTCTCGACAAGGACAAGGATGTCGCTCGTCGATCGTCTTCCATTTTTCTTCTCCCTCCCTTATCTTCTCTTTCTTAACATTTCTTTCTTTTTTGTTCTTTTCTTTACAAAGCCCGTAATGCATGACGAATTTCTCTTATCCTTTTTAACGTGCCTTGTTGTTTTCATATACGCGAGAGAAGAACACGTACGAGTTTTATTTTCAATTTTTTTTGTTTGTATTATTAACGCTATCAAATAACCGAGATTATTTGTTAAATGTTTCGATTCATATATTTCCGCATTCCAATAGTTTAGTTCTTCGTCTCGTATAATTTACGAGATATAGTAATAATTTATAAATATTATTTTATTTTATTTTATTTTATTTTAATTTATTTTATTTTATTTTATTTTATTTCTAAGCCAATATTATATAAGTAGATCGTTTTCGTTATTTCGATAGTTTTTACTCGATACATTTTATAATTAACGAATCTTTTTGTATTTTAATTACAGGCAATGTTAGCAATTGCGATGTACCCGGTTAACAGTTTAGTACCCGTGGCAGTAGAAATGTATAAAAAAGCTGGAATCTATGAATGTAAACGTCTTTTTGGAGTGACCACTCTCGATTGTGTAAGAGCAAATAGTTTAGCAGCAGAAATGACGGGTATAGCACCGGAATGTGTCGTGGTACCGGTTATTGGAGGATGCTGTCCGTGTACTCGCATCCCTCTCTTCTCTCAAATGACACCACGCGTCAATTTATCAATGGTTATTGATTTTGATAAATATTCAACGAGCAACACACAAGCCGTATATACTTATACTAAAGTGTTGCGGTATCTTACGAGAAAATATACTATTTGAAAGGCTCTTAAAGAAAGTAATTGCTATTTTAGCAAGAGATGAAGAATCTAACCAATTCCGTGAGAAAAGCTGACGAAGACGTTTTAAAAGCCAATTGTGGACGTAACGTTTCGATTTATGCGTCGGCATTTGCAATTGGTAGATTTTGCATTTCGCTTTGCAAATGTACGCGAAATGATGAATGAAACATTACGAGGAAAAATAACGTGTACGATGATAATAATTAAATGATTTTATCATTAGCGGTACGACAACAAAGAGGAGTAATAGAATGTGCTTACGTTCGTTCTTGCGTGATACCAGAAGTTACGTACTTTGCTTCACAACTCGAATTAGGTCCAGACGGTATTCAGAAGTATCTTGGCATCCCACCTCTTAACAACGACGAATGTAAACTCTTGCTCGAAGCTATACCTGTTTTAAGAGAAGCTATTAATCAAGGCGAGGTAATCAATAAATTCGAGTACATTAGATCCCGGTTAGTATGTTATGCGATAAAAAAAATCTTGATTATTCTCGAAATAATTTACTGTTAGTTCATGAATGCACATGGATTTTAAATATAAATATTGTAAAAATTCTTCTTTCCCGCCAATTATTCTTAATAACATAGTGGACAAAAAAAGAAAAAAAAAGAAACAATTACGAAACAGAATAAAATTAAAGTAATAGCAATATCTTAGGCACGTTATAAGAATTCACGTTATACAGGAATCTACCGTATATATTTATAAGTTTAAGATTATTAAAAATCATTACTAATCATTTATCCTATTTGTTTGTAGACTTTAGCTCTTGGATCTAAATCGATATCTTCGGAAAAGTGTCCCGTTTATCCTGACGTTTGTCATCGTGCGTTCACCCCATCACACATTCGTCGAATTTGATCGAGATTTTTGTATAAATGATTGTAAAAAAAAAAAAAGAAGAGACACAGTATACGTAACTACTAAATGATTTATCATTTATTCCGTTATTTTCTAGACACGCGGTAACTGTAGCAATCTCATTTGCGATATCTATTCGAATTGCGGTTGGAAATGTCATGAAAGGAACGGTCCGTTTGGAAATCGATTCGAGCAACGTAGTTACGTGAAGAGATTGGTTGATGACGCTAGATGGGTACCGTAATGACACGATGATTCGTATTCATGTGTATATATATATACAATTGTATACGCTTAAAAGACAAAATGTATTCAGTATAATCTAGAAAAAGGTAACTTTTGCAAATTGGACAAAAATCATACACACGAGAACTTCATTCCGATTACATATTATACATTTTTCCCCCCATTTAAATGCTAACGCATTCCTTACATTTCTCACTAAAAATGCGGAACGCAACGCCTATTCCCGATATAAAAATGCAGAACGTAAATTAACATTCTTAATATTCAATAAAATATAAGCGATTTATTATTACAAAAGTGTTTTGCCAAACACGTTCCGTAACTTCACACGTAAAAACCTATTAGAATAGGCAAAAACATGATCGAGTTTTTCGCATTTTTCATATTTCTTTAGATTTTCGCTCTCAGTACTAACAACGATTAATATTTAATTTCATCTTGAAGACGTTCATCTTTGAAAGAAGGTATGACAAAGATACTTCTCGGCGTAGCTATCACAGTCTCAGGGTCAGTGCTCTTTCTTTTTTTTTTTCTTTCTTTCTTTCTTTCTTTCTTTCTTTCTCTTTCTCTTTCTCTCTGGATAACTTCACGTCCAGCTTGACTCCGCACGTGTGTATGAAAGACGCAGTAAATGACTTTTTCTACCGAGTCGCTTTATGCTCCTCGCGGTTTACGATTACACCATGTTCGTAGCCGCGCGTGTGCCCTAATGACCGTGCTTCAGTCCTTTTCCTTCCTCTGTCACACATGCATATTCTATCTCTTTCTCTCTCTCTCTCTCTCTCGTACACTTTTTCTGTCTCTTACATATACTTACTCTCCCCGTTTGAAGCAATCCTAAAAGACGAGCTCGTCGATTCTCCGGTTATATCTTTGGCTTCCTCCTCTTCCTTTCTCCTACCGTGGCCTCCTTCCTTCGGAATAGTTATTACCAATTGTCATTGCAAAAGACGCGGGTGGTAGCTCTCTCAAGTGATTTACAAGCATATCGACCAACCGACCGTAGTACCAAAATGAATCCCTTCGTTTCTCTTCCATGACACAAACGTCATTCCACTTAATTATACTGAAATATATTTTTCTTCTTCTTCTTCTTCTTTTGTCTTCTTCCTTTTCATCTTCTTCAATTTGTAAATTTGAATAAAAATATAAATTACATTTGAAATTTATAATAAATATAAGTAAGTGTGTTTTTACTTATATAAAATAGAAATATAGAAAGAAAGAAAAAAGAAAATATTAATTGAAACAATAGATCAAGATACACAGAAGGAAGATTGGCCGAAAATAAACCAGTGAAACGATTTAACGAGCAGATCGTAACTGGTGACGGGGATTCTTTCAAAAATATTTCATTTTTACGACCAAATCATATTTATATGAGAACCGGACGCATTTATTTTTCGCAAATATCGTCGAGGTAGTTTGAACATTGCCAAAATAATCCTTTTCGATATTATGATAAGACGTATTGAATTTAACTTAATTGTAAAAATTAATCAAACGAGAACAAATTACACACACAAATTACTATAAATTATTTATATTTAATATTATATGTTCTCTCAATTTTGTTCCCATAATGTTAGATACAATTGCATTGCATCTGAGAATGGTGCTGCCATCTTTCGCAATTGAGAAGTACTATTTGCAACGTTCGGTAATGTAGGGAACTTTTTGTTAAAATATAACATAAAAATAATATTAAATAATAATATTATTGATATGTGTTCGGCTATATATAATTATTATCCCGCCTACAATTTTTCTTATACTCGTCCAAATCGTCTTTATCGATGTAATAACACATAAGACTCGGAATATAATAATCCTCTGGAAGCCCACAAGCTATGAAGCGTTCACGTTCGTCCGGAATATTATTCTCCGTTAAAGTACAATCAAGATCAATATCCTTTCCTTCAAATTTCCACGAATAAGATTGTCCATTTGCATTAAATATTAAAGCTCGTTCTTGAATACGTTTAATTGTATCCTCTTCGCAAACCTAAACGAAAAGCATTTTAATTTTTTATCGAAAATTATTAACGATTAATTTAATAATCCATTGTTACCATTATAACACAACTCGTTCCAGTAAGAACATTAATAATTCTACAAGGTCGTGGATTTTTGGTGAGTTCGCCTAACTTATATTTATCTTCCAACCACCATGGACATTTGTTTAACGGTCGCCAAGTAGTGGAAGGTACGACACAATCAGACACATCCGGTATTGGTCCATGTGGACAATACGGTACTGATACACCGGTAACAGGGTGAATGTAATATTTAATGTCCTTTCGATTATGATCGAACCAATGACTGATATCTTTTCCCGCGTGTGCTATTATAGGTTTTATTACTCGTGTACCTAACCACAATCTACATAAGTCGGTCAGATCGTAAACGTTGTCATTATAAGAAACCCAACAATCGTTTGATTTATTGTGTATCGCTACTTCGCTAGGTAAAAAATATTTTTTATCTTTGATAAAATTCGAGATGAATATTGGATGTCCGTAATCATATAAAATTTTTCTTCTTGGAGGAAAAAATATCGACATTTTTTAAAATATCAAAATGTGATATAATATTTTTTCGTGTTTGAATTGACTATGTTCACTATACTTATAATTTCAAATTACTTGCTTGAAACAAAAAGCAAAGATCTTACTACAATTGTTTAGCTATGATACTTTTTAATGATCGTTTAAAGTAATCAGATTTTCAAATCTTTATGCATTTCGAACGTACTTATTAATTTAAATCAAATAACAGGAAGTAAAGCAATCATTTTAATATTTTAATAAAATAAAAATATAATAATTCAATGAAATAGTATATCTATTTATAAATTTGTTTAACTTTTTATTATTAACTAATAATATTATTGCTATTCTTGACTATAACTGATTATTACCGCCTCTTCAATTTTGTGCCACGTAACAAGTTGCTCGCCATTAGCATTTTTAAAATTCTAGCAATTGAATAACTTATTGTTAGTACAAGTATATACTAACTGTGGCGCTACCATCTGTAACAGTCGATAATGCAGACCAAGTTATTCAAATATATGGAGTCATTATAAAACTTGAGAATTCCAAGAATATATATATAAAACTTAATTAAATAGTTCACTTATATTTATTATATATAAAAAATCAATAGCAAAATAATCAATATCAATATAATTTTACATTATACACAAATATAAAGTTTAATTGGACTTGTATTAGTTTAAACGATATGTAATATCGATTGCAAGGATCAAATCACAAAAAGATTTTTACGTACAAAGACCTATTTTTTTAAATTCTAATTACAGCACTGTTCATGCCATTTTCTCTTCATCTTTCGCAGATGGCGCTTCAGTATAAGAAGAAACTTCTATAGTATATCTATATAACAGAAAAAGCCGAGCGTTAGAGACAGAAGATATTTTCTTCTTTTCGAGTACTCTCGTAATGGTGCCTACCATTTTAGTGAGCTAGGAAAAAGCCTATTTAAGAGTGTAAGGTTCTATGGTTAATACTTGTTTCACTGTGTATATGAAATCGAAAGTTTAAAGTATATTAATACTTTAGTGTTTATTATTTATTTCTTGATATTTAACAAAGTTATATTTATCATAGATACAAGACATTGAATTATTTTATTTTTGTTTTCCTAATATCTGCTTATACTTGTTCAGTTTATTGTTCTAATGATACATATATTATAATGAAAATGAAGAAAAAGAATTCGGAGTAAGGGTGGACGGGAGGGGGAGGTGTAGGGTATCCGGGCCCGTATTTACGTTCCTGGTAAGGTTTTGAGATAGAATGTATCTCCTTCTTTGTTGATCTTCTTTCAACAAGAAGAAGGTAAGCACGTCGCTGGCACAGTAGTAGTAATAAACTCATTGGACTAAATCTAGAACAGAAGAAGGAAAAAGAAAAAGTCGTAATAATTTATATAAAAGGATTCTTATAACGCAGTTAACTTGGAAAGTTGTGAATAAATAATAAATGTATTTAGACAAATATGAAAAGTCTCTTGATTGTGTGGTGCAATGACATAACAAAATCGATCGATTAAAAACGAAAGTTAAAATGTGTTTTATTGGTGAAAGAGTTACTCCCGGTCGATAAAGCGATTTTCTCGTGAAATTTCTGGTATCTTAAAAAAAATTTCGAGTCTTTAGGTTGGCTCTACCGTTTGCTTGAAGCCTGAAAGCAGTCACTGCATTGTGGCGATTGAATGGCCGCCTCGTCCAGAGTGTGCAGGTTCTGTTTTCCTGTAATTAATTTTACGTTGTGTGATTATATTGTACGTGTATTAAATATTATCAATCTGATTTCATTCGGTAAGTCTTTTATTCCATCTTGATTGTCGTTAAACGAGCCAACCAAAGAATATCAAGCATATAAAACAGCTCGATACGTCTATCGCAACGAAACGTGCTCAGAAAATTACGGTACCGGTGAATTATGTTTAACTAAATATTCTTCTACTCCATTTTTACCTCTCCCATAGTTACCCAATCGAATGATTACGTACTTATCGCAAGGGAGCGCGTATTTTTCAAAGCAAGAATGCAAAGTAGCGCGTTATGTTTTCTGATATACACAGTACAGTAGTAGTGTTAGAGACTGTTCATTATGTTCACTCATATAATCATTAGAATACTTCTTTACGTATTCATTAACGACATTTATTAATTCAGGGTTGTTTAGTTTTTGTTATTTATATTAAAAAAAAAAAACAAAAAAAATTGTATATCTTTACATTAATCAGCAATGATAAAAAATATAATTCATTCAGTCAAACTAACATTGATTTTCTTTTGTATCAATTGAGTGATTATTTATTAAAGTTTGAAATATTGCATATCTGTACGCTGTTTTTAGACTTTGCTTTTTATTTTTTTATTATATGATTATACTAATTTCTATGAAATTAATATTATTATTTTTGAAAGTCTGCGACAAAGAAATAAAAAAAAATGTTTGTAAATGTTACTTTGCTCAAATAGTTATAATCTAATGTAAAAAAAAGTTCGAAGAACAATTTATTTTTCTAGATTATTTCTCTTAAGCATTACTTAAATTAAAAATACTTATATATACATATATATGAATCCTATTTATTTAAAATTAATATCTGATCATATAATGAGTTTGATTATATAATAAATCATACAACGTAGTCAAGTGATAACTTGTTTACTAATAATTATTCATATATAAATTATTATGAAACGAGGTCATATCGTTGCAATTACATATTACTTATTTGAAGTCAAGCTGGTCTCAGTACTAAGCTTTCTAAAATTTAGATATAAATTTATGTTTATAAATTTATTAATATTTAAAAAATTACAATTAAGAAAATTCATTTCCAAATGATTTTTTACATTTTAAGATTTTGTAATTGTAGAATCATGTTGATAAGCAAATATAAATTAAATGTACAATTCTTACATTCCATTTTTGCATAAATATTTTGAAGTATTTTATATTTCAACATTTATAGATAAGTATTGAAAAAAAAATATTTCTATAGAAAACATGATATATCAAAATTGCAACATATAATATAAATAATTACATTTGACATGTTTAAAATGATTTACATATTTATTATCCATGTATATTATTATATTTATTCTTATTATAGGATTGTCAACACATAACAGCAAAGACCATAGAACAGCTGTAAATTTGAAATGGAAAAAAGCGCGGACGGGCCATTGTTTCGCGCAGATAGAAATAATGGAGCTGATGAGGGGGCCATTGGAATATCCTGTATCGATGAACGTGTTGCTATCTTAGATGCAGGTGCACAATATGGCAAAGTAATTGATCGTAAAGTTCATGAGCTTAATATTCACAGTGATATTTTGCCTCTGGACACACCGGCTATCATTCTTCAAGAAAAAGGATATAAGTAAATGATAATAATTTACTATAGAAAATGAGATCAAGAAAATGTCCTTAAGTACTAAACAAATTTTAAATCGAATTGGTTTGTTGTTTTCGTTTGTTTATAGAGCTATCATTATCTCTGGTGGACCTAGTTCAGTTTATGCAGAAGATGCACCCAGATATGATGCAGATATTTTCCGAATAGGAATTCCCGTATTAGGAATATGTTATGGAATGCAAATGATGAATAAAGAATTTGGGGGTACTATTATAAGAAAATCAGGACGTGAAGATGGTCAATACCCAATTGAAATAGATACCAAGTGCCTTTTGTTCAAGTGTGTATATTTTATATCTGAAAATAACTCTATTTGAAAAAAAAATATTAAGTATCTTCAATATTCGTATACTCATATTTGATATATCATGCATTAGGGGCTTGGAAAAAGAGGAGATGGTATTGCTAACACATGGAGACAGTATAGACAGGATTGCTGACTGTTTTCGTATTACTGCCAAATCATCAAACTTCATTGTAGGCATAGCCAGTGATAAAATGAATTTATATGGAGTGCAATTTCATCCAGAAGTAGATTTAACGCCTAATGGAAAAGTAATGCTGCACAATTTTCTTTATGGAATAGCTGGTCTTACGGGTAATTATACGCTTCGTAATAGGGAAGCACAATGTATTCAATATATCAGACATGCTGTTGATAATAAGAAAGTTTTGGTAAGTAATATGTTTTATTTATGAATTAAAAATATCCATATAGTAGAGTAAGCAAATTATTGAAATTGCTATGTAGCGAATATATATTAAGATCAAATATTTCGAAAGATATTTAAAAGTGATTAAAAATCTAAATGATACATATGCAAAAGTGTAATTGTCAATTAAAATAGAAAAAAACGATCATAGTTGTTGGTGAGCGGAGGCGTGGACTCAACGGTATGTGCAGTGCTATTGCATAAGGCACTCAGTAAAGATCAAGTTATCCCGCTGCATATCAATAATGGCTTCATGCGCAAAGGAGAAACACAATTCGTGGAACAGAGTTTGTCCCAATTAGGAATCAGGTTGAGGGTAGTAAATGCTGCACATTGTTTCATGCAAGGCACTACCTCAGTTCCTTTGGATAACATTAATCCAGCCTTGAATGCAAATACTTTAAACAGCAAAGGAATTGTTAGTACAGCTACAACTCCACGAACAAGACTAACAAAACTGTTGTGCGCAACAACCAATCCAGAAGAAAAGCGAAAAATTATTGGAGATGTTTTTGTAAGGGTAGCCAATGAAGCAATTGCAGAATTGGGTTTGAAGCCGGAAGAAGTAATCCTTGGGCAGGGCACTCTCAGGCCTGACCTCATAGAGAGTGCGAGTGCCTTGGCAAGTGGTAAAGTCACATTCATACAACTTTATACATCTTTATTAATGTAACACTTATAAAATCAATGAAGATTTTTTAATGATTGATCACAAAAATCAGGTAAAGCTGATGCTATAAAAACACATCATAACGATAGCGACCTTGTGAGAGCACTGAGAGCACAAGGTCATGTAGTTGAACCTTTAAAAGATTTTCATAAGGATGAAGTAAGACAATTGGGATGTGATCTTGGAATACCAGCGTTACTCGTTTCTCGTCATCCATTCCCAGGACCTGGCCTTGCCATTCGCATTCTTTGTGCTGATGAACCGTATATGGACAAAGATTTCTCAGAAACCCAGGTAATAACATCACGTAAAATGAAGAAAATTAATCTGCTCCAATATATACTACATTTGTTTATAAATATCTAATTATTAATCTGACGATATAGGTCATAGTTAAAATAATGGCAGAATATGAACAAATGCTACAGAAAAAGCATGCATTATTAAATCGTGTAGAAGGTGCAACAAATGAAACTGAACGTCAACAACTTCGAAGAGTTTCTAGCCGTCGTCATATTGCTGCAACGCTTTTGCCTATTCGTACTGTAGGAGTTCAGGTATGTTAATATTAATTTAAGAAATGTTATATCATCTGATATAATAATTAAAGTACATGTAATGCAAAGAATTTATATGTATGTATGAATATGTATATATATAATATGTATATATATAATATATATATATATATATACAGGGAGATCGTAGATCTTATAGCTATGTAGTAGGATTATCAAGTGAAGAAAGTATCTCAGAAGGAGTGGAATGGGAAGATATGTTATTCCTTGCGAGGTTAATACCACGTGTGTGCCACAATGTAAATCGCGTATGTTATATCTTTGGACCACAGCTTCATCATCCTGTCACAGACATTACACAGACACATCTTACATCTAATGTGATAGCTACCTTAAGACAAGCAGATCATTTAGCAAATCAGGTTTTGGCTGCTAACGGTTGCATGGACGTCATTAATCAGATGCCTATAGTTCTAATTCCTATACATTTCGATCGCGATGCTGCTTCTCGAACGCCTTCGTGTCAGCGTTCAATCGTTATTAGGCCATTCTGTACCAACGATTTTATGACAGGAACTCCTGCTATTCCCGGAAAAGAATTACCAATTCACGTAAGTATCATATTTTCTTAATTCGATTTTATATATTTTTATACTATCTGTAGTATTCAAAATTAAATTTTTTCTTTCAGGTGGTGAAGAAAATGGTGACTGAAATATCTACGGTACCCGGCATTTCACGCGTTCTGTATGATCTAACGCCTAAACCGCCGGGTACTACCGAATGGGAATAGTAAATACTCGTCTCTAACTCACCCCTTTCTATTTTTTCACCACCCCTGCGCGTACCAACTACAAAGTGAAAAATATATTTAAAAAAATATATATATTACAAAAATACGTACGAATTCAAGGTTTATGACTTCTTACCGATTTATATGAAACCTTTGAACAATAATCTTGCGACAAAATGCATTATTGATAATCGTACATTATTATGTTATCTAAGAAATGTTACTGTGTTCGATGAAATTAAAGGTAAGTATTATGTTTGCTTGTAAATACGTTTCTTATTAAGCGCATTGTAAAAACATTAATTTATTAAATTCCGGAAATTTATATTACATCGTTTTTGTTATATTTGAAACAATCGCATCTAATCGGTGGTACCATTAGATTGCTGTTGTATTCGATCTGCATATAACGTTGAACGTGTACCACTGTTTTCCCATATATCCTATGCCAAATGCAACTTCCAGTTTTTGTCGTACATCTAAAAAAAAACAAAAAACAATTATGTAGTAAGTTAATGTATTGTGTCCAGAATATTATTTTTATTTAAGTATCAGTCACGAGTAAAATGATGTTTCCTTCTCTTTATTCCCTCTCCTGCGTTTATTTATATATATATATGTATATATATACATTTTTTTGCATATAAAAAACAAATTTATCTTACCTGTGCATGGTTTTTAAAAGGATATGTAAGTCTTCAACGCGTTTCTTCTCGGGAAGCATGCTAAGAAATGTTGCAACTGATAAGAAGTCTACTTCGTTTACAGATTTAGATCTAGCAATCCATGTTTGTATCTGCATTTTAATCTATAAACATATGCCTTTCTTTTTATTTTTATTAATGTCTCACTATAATTCTTTATTAACAGCGTGTATATTTAAACATGTTTAAAAATATTAATATGCTATTAAGCATATAGAAATGTGCGTTGTTTAGTATAACATTACATATGTCTCTGTAGATTTCTCTGTTAATTTATCATAAATTCTAAATAATACGCAACGCAACTCGTAATTTCTTGATATTGATTTTTAAATTAAGTAATGTACGTTACATATATATTTATGAAATTATTGCAAAATATTGCTATCGTATTAATGTACCCTATAAAATATTATTTGGTAAACGAGTATGTCTTTCATTAATGATATACTATTTTTTTTATAAATTATCAACCGTTACGTTTACTTATTACCGCTAAAGTTAAACCATTTTTCTTATACTTTTTGATTTGAAAATATTTTACACAAGTATTATAGAGTATTTAAAGATATATTTGTTAGTAAATACACGGCGATACGTAATATATTTGTGGTAAAAACAATATTAATTAAAATTAAAATAGATATAGAAATTTAACTTACTTTTTCTATTGGAAGAATGAACAATTTACTGATGATATTGGTCAAGGTCTTTCGATATTTATTTGTAATTTTATCATTTTTTGTAATACTTCGAATATATGCAAATATTATTTCAATTTCATCTACACTTTCTTCTTTATTATTACTATTATTTAATGCGGTTGAAGATGGTGTGACCATATTATCGTCTCTATTATCTAAATTGTTACTGTTTATGTTATCACTTTTTCTAGCTGTTTCTGCTTCATGTGTATTACTGCGCTCCTTAGCTGTAGACTTTTTTAATTTTATATTTTTCTTGCGATTATTTTTGCTGGAAACAACTTTAGAATATTTGCCATTATTTTTTAATTTAGAAAATAGTTTTGTATTTTTGGGATATTGTAATACATTCCACTGATTATTGGAATTATCGATAGCAGTATTGTTATTAGATAAATTATTTGTATTTTTAACTTGTTTTTCTTTTTTTTTAGCAATGCAATATTCTTGCACATCGTGTTGCATATCTATTGGTAATGCTGCTAAAAAATCAGGATCTACTTGTGAAAATGATACATTTTCTATAGCTGGACTTTGCTTAGCAGATACTTCTGTATGTTTTTGATGATTCATTTGTTCATTTGATATATTTGCACCGCTGGTGGAGCTGTTATTATTTTGCTGTTTATTACTTTTATACTCATTAAATATGTCGTTTCGTATATCTTCAGGTAATTCTAACAAAACAGACATATCTAATTCTTGAATTGGTGGTAATTCATTTTTCATGATTTTTCCTGAATTCGGTTTAGTTTGTTTGAAAAATTGTTCTTGACGTGTTTGTGTATTTTTGACTGATTTATTCTTATCATTTTTTTTGAACATTGTAGTAATAATCTCAAGTCTGATATTGTCTGGTAATTCATTTAATGTAGATTCATCTATTTGCTGCGATAACATATAATTTTCAGAAGTATCACTTAAAGATTGAGAAGAAGTATGAGGTACATCGTTCTTTTCTATATTTCGATTAGATACTTTTATAGAAATCTCTGAAGACTGTAAGTTATTATCTAATGTTTTTTGTACTTTGGAATTTTCTCCCTCTTTCTTATTTACCTTCAGGTTATTTATTTCCGTATTAACATTATTTTCTTGATTAATTTGAACTTGTGATTTGGATTTACTATTAAATGAATTTTGTTTTTTCAATTTAGCTTCAAGTATCTCTGACCTTATTTCTTCTGGTAATTCAATTAACACACTCTCGTTTATATCTTGGGAGGGTAATAAAATTATTGAACGATTAAATGGAGAAGAAATATTGTTTTTCATTGGAGTATTGCTTGAATCTCTTTTATCGTGATTATTTGGTAAAGTTTCTATAATATCTACTCTTCCTTCTATGCTTTCCGAACGTGAATTACTAGGCTTCGAAAAAATATCATTGTTATTACTAATAGTTGTTTTTGAAGATGCTACTGCTTCTTTATTAACAGAACACGTATTTAAATCATTATTTTCACTATCTCTGCATTGGTTTGAATTAATATTTACCATTTGAGGTTGTTTAGTTTTATTTACAAAATTCATCAAATTATTATCGTTAAATTTATTTTTCTGTATTTCTAATCTGGAAATTTGAATACCTATTCCTCTCATATCTTGAGGTATTAGATGTAATTGATTCCATATACCAATAACTTCTCTGTAAATGTAAATTGTCTAATAAAATTAAAATTCTTTTTTAATTTTTGATAATTCAATAAATTAAGTAAATAAATGATTAAAATGCTTACTTTGTAATAATGGTAAGATCATCGATGGGTGCCATTAGATTTTTTGATTTTGTTATACAATCACAAATTCCATGACCCATAAACTTCATTGTTTCTACAGGTGCTTCTTTAGCTCTTACCATGAGTTTTAATGTAATACACCTTCCCTTTGCATTAATCTTTTTTAATCTGCTATGTACTTCAATGCATAACTTTTTTAAAAAATCTACCGCTTCGCCATTATCTTCGAACCTAATGCCATAATTGACTTCCGCTGATACAGATTTTCTTACATGTTCTAAATTCAACTTCGTTTTATCGATACCTCGACACATATCATATAATAACTCTCCCATTTTTTTCCCAAAATCTTTTTGTAGTGTTCGTAAAGATAACGATCTCAATTCTACACAAGTATTAATATTTATCTTATGTAACTTTTTTGCAGTTGTATATCCGACTCCTATTGTAATAGATAATTTAATAGATATGAATTAGATAATTACATTTTAATAATTTTAGGAATAATAATAATATTTCATTACCTGGTAAATCTTGAACACTTAATGGGTCAATATATGAAAAAACATTATTATCTTCGATATAAAATTGTCCATCGGGTTTAGCTTTTTTCGTTGCTAATCTTGCTCTTAATTTATTACTGCCAAATCCTGCCGATACTGGACAATTTGTGGTTTGCCTAATTTCATTTCTTATGATTGTTGCAAATTCCATAGGCATCAAATGTGATTCTTCCAGTATTTTAGTACAATTTACATACATTTCATCACAACTTACTGCTTCGATATCTAATGTATATGATGCTACTATATTGTACAAACTATATGATACTTCCTTATAATCTTCAAAATCATATTTTATTGTATGTAACTCGGGACATATTTTTAATGCTGCACCCAAAAACATTCCATTCTTTACACCTGCTTTTCTTGCTTCATACGAACATGATGCAATTTCCGAAAAAGAACCATATTCTTCTTCATCTTGCTCATTTACGTTGCTCGATTCAGTATTAATACTTTTATTCCCTTTAGCATGTGCTACTGCAACAGGTAATCCTCTTAAATTTGGTCTATTTCTAAGACCTACAGAAACAAAGAAGCAATCCATGTCTATGTGCATTATGACGGGTCCATTTTTTACTATTGTATTTTGTCTTTCTTGAGAAGTCAACATTTCATCTTCTGTTAAGTATGAATTATTGGAATGTTGAGAATTTTGGTTTGATTCTTTCATTTTCTTCAATCGTTCTAAACCAAGAAATTTTCCATCACTCTTGTCTCTTAATTCATTAATGTAATCTTTAAACGTTGCACCCATAGTAGCAATGTGATGTAATCGCGAATTGTTATAAAATTCTGATATGAATTCCGAATTTTTAGATGAAAGTGCTGTTCCTTTTGTTTTTTTAAGATTCGTAGAGAGAGAATTGTTAATATCTTGATTGAAGTCTTTACTAGTAGAAGCTGCAACATTTACTACAGCAGATGGTTCAACGATACTTTGCATCATATTATTGTTATCATTTATTGTATTATTTACATTATCTTTTTTATTGTGTGTGTTTACTTTAAAATTTAATTGTGGTTGGCTACCGGTACAATTAGTAAGGAGCAAATAATTCTCATAATTTAAAACCTTCCCAGCTTTGATGCTATCTATTATCCATTCAGGCTTACAAATAGGCATTGGACATTGAGCTTTTCTATGGAGTACAATTTTAGAATATGGTAAGTTGGATGCAATTATATGGGTTGTAATTGTGGGTCGCATGTAATGATGGTACGTTCCTCCGTGTTCCATCATTAACTGTCTTAGTTCATCTGCTGTTGGATCAGTATAGCCATTAACAAATATAGATATTCCTTTAAATAAATTCGACGGGTCTTTATATTCTTTTTGTGCTTCTTCATGAAATTGTTCTTCCAATTTTGTTTTCTTAGCTTCCATATAACCACCCTAAAAGCAAATCATTTCTTTCATTTAAATATATCAACACACATATCATAAAATCATCGTGATTTTTATTAATATATATAAAAATTATAAATTTAACTTCATGTTACGAATTTTTTTAATGGAAAATTTGGTTAGCGGTAAGGTAATGGTAAGGACATGCAAAAATGAGAGGCGTAAATAGATGCAGGTATTAAAGAAAATAACTCTATGGTAAAGAGAAAGAGCAAGGGAAGATTCAGTAAAGGCAGTAATGAAGCCAAGCGGACAGAAAAATATGTTAGGAAAAAAAAACGGACCTTACAGGAGAAATATGACAAGAGTTTGGAAAGTAATATGTTACTGCGTTGTAGAATATAAATATAAAAGATATTCCTGAAGTTTGTATTAAATTATATTATGTAAAACCAAGTCCATTTATTGAGCAAACAAACTATAAATTAAAATAAATATCTACAAACTTATTTCTAATATAAAAAAAAATAAATGTTTGCATACCCAATCTTCAAAACCATTATCATTCCAATTTCTGTTCTTTCTCCTTACTGCCATATTTTAATATAAAAATTAAATAAATATTAAAAACAATTATAAATATTAATTTAAATTATTGTATATATAATTTATTTAATTGACTGCTATATTAATAAAACAACATTATGCACATTTTTTTATACAAAATATCACATAACCTAAAAACAAAATTGTATCTTATTAAATGTATGCTTCATTTTATTTATCTGTTCCGGTTATTCAATGTTAAAATATAAATCATAGTAAAATGCAGATTAAAGTTTGATTTAAAGTTTTTTATTTCAAAATATCTATAAATAAAATAATGCTCTTCATTTTAATCTTATCTTCATTGTTGACAGCAGAGTAAACGTCAACCATATCACATAAAACTAGGTAAAACTAAAATGGCCACGTATATATTCATACACATTATATAAATAGGGTGGGTAAAAAGGTTTAAGCCTCAACAGAAACAAATTTTTTTTTTTAATTAAACATAAATTTGACCGAATTCGAAGACCGACACGTTTAAAAAAAAACAAAGGAAGAAGTTTCATATGCATTCTTATATACCAGTTTGTTTCAGATGGAAAAATAAATTTTTGATAGTTTAATATTTAATTTTTTACAATTTTATAGTTTTCCACAGTGTTAGGCTCAAAACTTTTCAAGTCTTCTTGTATTAAACTCAAAATTTTTCTGTCCGCCTATGTATATTTTTTCTATTTCTTTTTTTTTTTTTTCTTTTTTTTATTAAACTATAACAAATTTAATTTTTTAACTGATATAAAAAATGAACTGATCTACAATTGTGTGGAATTTAAAGAAATCAGTGTCTTGTCAATTTGGGTCTTCCCTTATTAGTGGAAAAGTAAAAACTATGTACACCTGCTGATTATTAAAACATTTACTTCCGAATTAGCATACAAAACTGGTAATATATTGTTTGTACTTACTGACTTACATATTTTTTTATTTTTTTACTTTTTTACTATACATCTTTAATTTATTCTAGATTATTCATTAAAAAAGAACCAACAATATAATAAAATATAAAATTTGTATTTCCCATAAATAAAAATAAATGATTTATTATAAACATCAAAAAATAACAAATATATATTAAGTAATATTATAATGAATATACAGAACCGTACCAGACTGGCTCAACTGGAAAGAATGTTTAAAGAATGTATTGTCTCATTGTTTAGTTATAATGAATGACCAAGTAATTTACTCTACATTTATGTTCCAATTTAAAAAATATCAAAAATATTGTGTTCACATATAACCAAAAAATTAAAAAATGTTTTAACGAATTAAATGTTATGGTTAAAATATATTAATTATGATGATAAATAAAAACAATTAGTATTGAAAAAAAGATAAATTCGTTGTAAATACGCATATATCTATAAAAAGAAAATTGTGCGCATATAAAAAAATTGTTATATGCTTAGTCGTTAATCAAATCTGTTTCAATATCAATGAATTATTTTCAAAAATTAATTTACGGATACTAGAGAAATAAGACATAAACATATAATTTCATCTATATGTTAATAGTATACATACGCTTTGTGCAAGGTATGCAAGTTACCTTTTACATAACAAAAATAATAATATGAGAAATAATTTTTGGTGTCTCATTATGATCTTTGCATAGGATAATATATTATATAAAAAATCCTAATCATGAAAAATATGTTTTGTAAGTTTTGTTCATTTGTTCTAAGAATATAAACGTTAAGACCGTATGAGGACCCAAACGTGCATAATATGGAAAGAAACCTTTCCAAAGTGCCAATGGTCCTTCATTACGAATAACTTTTCCAAGAACATCTAATGCTCCAGTATATTCTGGCTTTCCATCAATAGTTTTCATATTTTGGATCCTAACAGAAGAAAGCATATAATCATCCATAACTTGTAAATAAAACATATATTTAAAATATAGTTTAATATATTACCTTGTCTTAGCAATATCTACAGGCATAGATGTAATAGTTGTAATTATTCCAGAGATCATGGAGGATGCAAAATGCAATGTGATATTTTCTTTGAAATAACCTGTTTTAGAACAAATTTTTACAAATTAAAATATACTATTGATATTTAACTAAGTGAGCGCTATAGTTATATATTTTTAAGATATACCCGTATCAAGTAATATTTGTTTTGCCTGTGAGTATGAAGCTAGTTGAGCTGCATTTACAACCATTGCACGTCCCACGGTTGGAATTGCACCTCGCCACAATGTAAGCAATCCTTCTTCTTTAATTATACGGAATAATGCATCGAACACATTTTTGTAATTGCGTCTTTGAGCTGAAAATATTTAGTGCATTAAGAAGATTATAATATTAAATCTGATTACATCAAATTATTAAAAAACAATGATTTACCAAGTGGCAGTCTGCCATCAGCAGTCATTCGTATTAATGTTACTTCTGCAGGTGTGCCTACAAATGCACCAAAACCACCAGCAATCATTCCTAATGCTGCTTTTACGATAAATATTGGTTGACCATCTTTTCTGAATATATTATGATAATAAATAGTTAGTTAAATTTACGTTATAATATATATATATTTATTTTAATAATTCATTTACTTACGAGGCTCTTTCAAAAAGCCAATTATATATTCCTAGCCTAGTAGTTGTATATGTTGCTTGTCTTAATAAGCCTGCAGATAAGCCATTATAAAAAGCGAAGAAACCTTCATTTTTAATAATATTAGAAACAACAGTAAGCGTTGAAGTCTTTTGTCCACTTAATTGCATTCGGTTCTTTATTAGATCTAATGGTTGTACAAAGACTGTTGCACTCATTCTATAATTATACATAGAAAAAATTTGTTATTGTTTTTAATGGTTTTTATTTAATGTCTAAATTATAATTTTTACATATTTTTATTAAGTTGAAAATAAAAGAAAAAGGAAAGAAAAAGCTGCTATAGGAAAGAATAATTTCTCTTTTATTAATTGCAAATATAAATTATATGTATATACATATGTTTTATTTAAATCTGTTATTCATAATTATTAAAAAAAATAAATTTAAAATATTTCTTAATCTTTTAAACATTCAAGAAATATTAACTAGTTGATATTTCCAAGGTTGAGTATCTTTTATTAATAGTTAGAGATTGTGAAATATAGGGCAAATAAAATGTATAATTCTTTAGCATCATTTAATAATATTAATTCGTGTTATTAAGAGTTAAAAATAAGTTTGGTAGTGAACGCAAGTAATAATTAACCGTTTGACCTCTAAATTCATTACCGCCGACTTTTTAAATATTTCTATTACTGCTGGAGGCAGAAAACGAAAGAAAAATTTTGTTCTCTTTTAAATATAAGATATAAATACATATATAAATGTAAAATATTATAATAAATTATATAACATGTGAAGTACTTTTTTTAAATAATTTAAGTAAGTAATAAAAAATATATTAGTAAAAAAAATAATCAAATACAAACCCAGAAAGACCTCCGATGGCAAATTTGGCACTATTTGGTATAGGTTTTTCCTCACTCATTTTAATTTTTTTATTTGTCTTCAAATATCGTTAATTATATTTAAAAAATACAAATATATTGAATGAACGATTTATTTTTCAGAAAATTAACTTCAAACCACATTAAGGTTTTTATAAACGATATACGTATTTGCCCTATTTGCAATCAATTATGATTGATATATTTTAAAAGGAAGAAAAAAAATATTATGTGGCCATTTTCGAGGTGGCTAAAATTTTTGGCCTGCCTTAATGACATCTAACAAAAACGGTAGAATCTGCTGGACTGTAAGCAACTACCAGAATATATTCAAGCTATTTTCCATATTTTATCTAACCATGTAAATTCTAGATATTTTTTTGTACACCTAACGCCATCTACTTGATACATTCAACATAGCTCTAAACTCCTTAGACAAGGAAGTTTAAATATTAGTAATTAAAACTGTAAGAACGCTAGCAAAAAACTTTAACAACAGAAAAAAATGAATAAGTGCTCTTATTTGCTCACTATTTGCTCAAATTTATTTTATCAAATATATTTTTCAAAAATTTTCAAATTTTTTTTTATCAAAGAATACAATATTCTTTGATAGTATATATAGTATAGTTATATTGTAAAAAAATTTAAAATAATTATATTTAATTTTTAATGTCTAAATACGTGTGTGTCTTCAGAAATGCGTTTTTTATACATATATATTTTAAAAAGTAGAAGAAAATCAAAACAAGTAAATGATAAATCCAACGATGATCACCTGTAACAAAAAGAAAATTATATTAATCATACAATCAAGTGATACAATAGCCTAACATACAAATCGTCCAATTCGCAGAGATGCACTTTTCATTTAAATTTCCTATTTATTTTTATCCAATCTCTATTTACCGTTTGTAAAATAAAATTACATTTAAATGCGTGATTTTACATTTACATAAAATATATAAAAATAAAGAAATAGGAAAAGTACAAATATTAAGTTACTACAAAAAATAATATCTATTAATTATTATGAAATACTTTTAAGCTGCATTATATAGAAAAGAAAAATTTCAAATTTAATAAAATACGATAAAAATGAAAAATTTTAAAGACGAAACAAGAAAAAAAAATTACTGTAATATTTACCGAACGTTATTTAAGCTTCAAAATTTAATATTACGAAAATTTTAATATTTTTGACTCTAACTAACACATAYRYATCTTTTGGACGATATAGACACGAATTTGGTGTCCCAAGGAGATGGAATGGTCCATCATCTCCAATTACAACTACAAATTAATGACGAGCAAAAAAGTAATATAATAAAATATGACTAAAGAGCTATTCTCGAAAAGTTCTAACTTGCTGTTGAACCTTTGAAAATAACTCAATAGTCTATGTAGTTGCCCTCTTGAGCCACAATTAAGTGGGGGGCCTCTTCGACATTTAGCCTCTTCTTTCTTCATGCCCTAAACGCTGCTGTGAAGCTTTTTTTAACATTTACTCGAATGCCTCAACAGATATTTGATCCAATTGATGAACCTATTATTAACACTTCGCATTTAAAAAATTAAATAATATCA